CGAAGATGTACCAGGATTTAAGGCAGCACTATTGGTGGAGGCGGATGAAGAAAGATATAGTTGAGTTTGTAGCTCAGTGCCTCAATTGTCAGCAGGTGAAGTATGAGCACCAGAGACCGGGTGAGTTGCTTCAGCAGATAGATATTCCGTAGTGGAAGTGGGAGAGGATCACCATGGACTTCGTAGTTAGACTCCCACGGACTTTGAGAAAGTTCGATACCATTTGGGTGATTGTTGATCGGCTGACCAAGTCCGCACACTTCATTCTTGTATGTACTACCTATTCTTTGGAGCGGTTGGCAGAGATTTATATCCGGGAAATTGTTCGTCTACATGGTATTCCAATTTCTATCATTTTAGATAGAGGTACTAAGTTCACATCATGGTTCTAGAGGGCCGTACAACATGAGTTGGGTACTCAGGTGGAGTTGAGTACAACATTTTACCCTCAGACGGACGGACAGTCCGAGCGCACTATTCAAATTCTTGAGGATATGCTCCGTGCGTGTGTGATTGAGTTTGGAGGGTCATGGGATCAGTTCTTACCATTGGCGGAGTTTTCCTACAACAATAGCTATCAGTCCAGCATTCAGATGGCACCATACGAGGCTTTATATAGTAGGCGGTGTAGACCCCCGGTGGGTTGGTTTGAGCCGGGCGAGGCTAGATTATTGGGCACAGACTTGGTTCAGGATGCTTTGAAGAAGGTTAAAGTGATTCAGGATAGACTCCGTGCAGACCAGTCGAGACAAAAGAGTTATACGGACCGGAAGGTTCGTGATGTTTCCTATATGGTTGGAGAGCGGGTTTTGCTTTGGGTTTCGCCTATGAAGAGCGTTATGAGATTTGGGAAGAAAGAGAAGTTGAGTCCGAGGTTTATTGGTCCTTTTGAGATATCGCGGCGTGTTGGGGAGGTTGCTTATGAGCTTGCTTACCTCCCAGCTTGGCAGGAGTTCATCCGGTATTTTATGTTTAGATGCTCTGGAGGTATCACGGTGATCCTTCGTACATATTGGATTTCAGTTCAGCCCATTTGGACAAGCATTAATCTTATGTTGAGGAGCCGGTGATAATATTGGACAGGCAGGTTTGGAAGCTGAGGTCAAAGAACATTGTATCAGTGAAGGTTTAGTGGCGGGGTCAGCCGGTCGAGGAGGCGACCTGGGAGACCGAGCAGGATATGCGCAGCCTCTACCCTTATCTTTTCACTACTTCAAGTATGTCTCTATGCTCGTTCGAGGACGAACGAATATTTAAGTGTAGGAGGATGTAACGACCCGGCCGGTCGTTTTAAGAATTTACACCCCGATCCCTTAATAGTTGTTTTTCCCGTATTTGTTTCTACTATTTTGATTTGTTGGGATATTTGGTTTTGAGTTTCAGAGTGTTTTGGGACTCTTAGTTCCTAAAATAGAGCTTAAGCTTTAGAATTTGAACGGTAGTCGGAGCAGTGTGAAGACGACCTCAGAATGAAATTATGTCAGTTCCGTTAGCTCCGTTGGGTGATTTCGTGCTTAGAGGCGTGTTCGGATTGTGTTTTGGAGGTCCGTAGCTTAATTAGGCTTGAAATGCCGAAAGTTGAATTTTTAAAGTTTCCGGTTCGATAGTGAGATTTTGATCTAAGGATCAGAATAGAATTCCAGAAGTTGGAATGGGTCCGTGGTGTCATTTGGGATGTGTGTACAAAATTTTAGGTAATTCGGATGAGGTTTGATAGACTTTTTGATCAAAAGCGAAAATTTGATGTTTTGGAATCCTTAGGCTTGAATCTGAGGGTGTTTTGATGATTCAATTTGTTTTGTGTTCTGAAGGTTGGTACAAGTTTGAATAGTGGTATAGGAATTGTTCGTATTTTTGGTTGAGGTCCCAGGGGCCTCGGGATAATTTCAGAAGGTTGTCGGTAGAATTGGGAGTGGCTTGAAGCAGCTGAAGCAGCTGAAGCTGCTTATCTTCTGCCATAACCGCACATGCGGTTGGGGCCCGCAGGTGCGGAGCCGCAGAAGCGGCCTATAGCATCGCAAAAGCGGAAAAGCGGAGAGCCAACAGGGACCGCAGAAGTGGCACCGCATTTGCGTAAAAGTGGTCGTAGGTGCGGAAGTTGGGTTTTTAATGAATTGTCGCAGATGCGGCTTTAGTTCCGCAAAAGGAGATTTGCTGGACAGAATATATAAATAGATGCCTTTGCGAATTTGAGTTATTTTTCATCTTTTTCAATCGGGAAGAAGCTTTGGGAAGCATTTTCAAGGGAGATTTTCAGAGATATTCATTGAGGTAAGGTCTTTTGTCCTTAAGCTCGTTATTGTGGTGATTTTTATCATTGTAAGCATGAAATTTGAAGGAAAATCAGTGGTAAAATTGGGGGTTAGGGCTTGGTTAATTGGAGAGTTTTGAGTGGTGATTTGAGGGGCCATTTGAGGTCTGACTTTGGTACTTTTGGTATGACTGAACTAGTGAGAGCATGAGGATTCTGAATTTATAAATTTTACCCAATTCCGAGATGTGGGTCCATGGGCATTTTGTTCATTTTTCCTAAATTTCGCGTATTAGCTTAGAATCAATTAGTGGAATCAATTACTTGAAGTGATATTTACATTATGCAATTGATTTGAATAGATTTGGGTCATTTGGAGTCGAGTACTCATGGCAAGAGCGTGGTTTCGGGTTGATTTTTGAGCCGGTTCGATGTAAGTGGCTTGCCTAACCTTGTGTGAGGGAACTCCCCTTAGGATTTGGTATTGTTGATATTTGAAATGCCTTGTACGTGAGATGACGAGTGTGTACTTGTGCGAATTATTGAAAATCCTATTTTCATTAAGTAACTATAATTGTGTTCCCTTTCCTGTTTATACTACTTGCAATTTAAGCCTACTGTTAGCTTAGGGTAGCATGTCTAATTGACTTAATTGTTTTACTTGCTCAAACTGCCTTATTTGGATTATGTGGAACATGCTAGGTTAGAAATACCTGTTTTTCCTTGGTATGAAATTTGAATTGGATTAAGTATTCATCGTATTGCTGTTGTGTGTTTACTTTGGGAGTACGGGACGGTATCTTAGGAGATCCCCTGTATGTTTACTTTGGGACTACGAATTTATATTCCGGGAGATCCCTCTGCACAGTTATATTGGAACTACAGGACTGCACCTAGTAGATTCCCCAGTACTGGGTATTTATATTTGGGATTACGGATCGGTATTCAGAGAGATCCCCGCGCACTATGAGTTGGAATACGGGACGACACCCGGGAGATCCACTGGATATTTATATTTGGGACTACAGGACGGTATCCTAGGAGATCCCCGGTTATTATCTCTATATTGAGTTGTATTCCTTCTGTGATTATTTTGTCTCTGTTATAGTTGTTGTTATTCTTATTATCCTGTGTTACTTCATACTGTTAGCAATTATTTATATTGTCATATTCTATACTGTTTTACCTCATTTTTCAGCTATAATTAGTAGGGCCCTAACCTTCCTCGTCACTACTCGACCGAGGTTAGTCTTGGCACTTACTGAGTACCGCTGTGGTATACTCATTCCCTTTCTGCGCATGTTTTTTATATGCAGATCCAGGTACTTCGACTCAACCCTACTACCCTTGAGGCGAGGCGATTCTCCAGAGACTTCGAGGTATATCTGCCGCGTCCGCAGACCGATGAGTCCCTTTCCATTCTCTCTTATAGTATTAGCCCTTCGATATTTACTTTTGTTTAGACATTCTGGAGTTAGACACTTGTAGTAATTCAACAGTTTGTGATTTCATGAGATTTCGGGTTTCAGTTTGAGAGCTTGTATTGTATCCTAAACGCTTCATTATGTTATTTATGTAGTTTTTGGCTAGTTTTATTCTGTTGTTTCTTTTTCTGTAATTTGTTAGGCTTACCTAGTCGTAAAGATTAGGTGCCGTCACGATAGTTCAAGGAGGGCGAACTGGGGTCGTGACAACTACAATATCGCTCACACTCTCTATTTTTCTTACACACTATTTTTTATACCCTATCTGTAATATCTTGATCTTTCTTTCTGTCTTTGTTGATGTGCCCTTTTATAGGAGTAAAATACGTAGTATGAAAGAATGCTACAGGAGATATATTAATCTCCTCCGCTTATTTTCAATCTTTAGCTCCAAGAAAGAGTTATCAGCCAAGCTTTATTTCATAGGCACATGTCTATTCTTGAATAAGATAGACCCTACAATCTCAGTGTTAGTACCCTGAGGTTTTCTACATAAGCACTCGGGTATCTTCTTTCTATCTAAAAGATCTTCAAATTTGTAACATATAATATTAGGAAAAAATAAGTCAAACCATGCACTAATACCCTTCTTCTTCCTCCCTTCCTTAGATGAGTATTTTCTCCATTGCATTCTTAAGCACAGTAATTTATTCTCTAAGTATAATGGAATCAATTGCAATGATTTGGCTTGTAATATTTGCACTAAGTGTGTCTTTTCCTGATTTCATGGTATCATGTTCTCAGACAGAAAATTACCTTAGTGGCAAAGAATATCCAAACTCAGTTTCATTTCCAAGCACTTTCTTGTTTGGAACAGCCTCTTCTAGTTACCAGGTTTTTCTCTGCTTATTTCTACATCTTGCTTTATACAGTAGTTGAACTTTTTTTTTTTAGGGCATTTTTTTTAAAAAAATATTCTTGTTTCTTTTGCAGTTTGAAGGAGCTTTCCTTAGTGATGGAAAAGGCCTTAACAATTGGGATGTTTTTACTCATGAAGTTGGTGAGCTTTAATTTACTGCCGTCAGATCTCTCTAGCACTCCTATATAACAGTCATTAACTATAAAAAATAAATTTTTCTCAGAATTAATTTTTATATTATGTTATATTATACATCCTCTATAACAATACTTATCGGAACAATCGAGGATGTAATAGAGGGGTTTGACGGTATATGTCTAAATTTCTTCCCATGTTTGACACATTCAGCACTACCCCTCCACCCCATCTCCCCCTCCCCTAGATAATAATCAAGAATTATAATATATGACTGGGGATCTGGTGCAGGGCACATAGCAGATGGAAGTAATGGAGATATTGCTCTCGACCATTACAACCGATATCGGGTACGCTGCATCCGTTTTTTTTCCGTCTCAATATTTTAAGTTTATTGACCTAATTAATTCAGTTTCACATCGGATACATATAATGAGAGAATAAACCGCTCCTTATTAATTTACTATCAATTTCTTATTCATTCATTAAACAAATGATAGCGGCTAATTAAAATTAAGCCTATCACGAGCACAAACAGTCTCGCTCCTTGATTAGCGTGGTCAAAAAATTATGTATTTCCAATTTCTCGCACACGAAACCCTCTAGCTATTCGTAAAGAGCAGAGGCGGATCCAGGATTTAAAGTTTTTGGGTTCCTATATCGACTTTAAGTAAATATACAATAAGTAACTTGGTTCACAACTAAATATTTATGGATATTTAGTTAATTTTTTAATACCTATACAGAATATATGCAAAAGCTACTGAGTTCACGGGAACCCACGTATAATAGGCTACATCCGCCCTTGTTAAAGAGGCCTCAACCATTCAACCACATCCTTCGATGGTAACTGTTGTAGTAATTAAGTATTCAAAATTCAGCATCTTCCTCAAAGATAAGTAATGTACTATATACTAATGTAGGAGTATATGATAAACAAACAATTACCGGTACTTTACCAACTAGGCAACTACCAAGAGATTAATCAAGAGTGGTATTAAATACTTGTTTCGCCTCTAATAAAGCTAGTACGTATATCCTAAGAGGTGTCAACTGACACCCCTTCATCCGGAAAATTATATTGTATAGCTACGTAAAAAAATTTAGACGTATATATTACTATATCGTGATCAACCCCCTCCCCCCCTCCCAAATTATTTCTACGTTTATTTTGTTTTATTTGACACCTTTTAATAAAAATTCTGGCTCCGTCACGTGCATAAAGTATATTACTCTCACGCCGGCCGTAGTACTATAAGCTATATATGAGGAAAGCTAGTACGTAAAGTATATAGGTAACTGATATGTGTTTACTCCTTGTTACATTATTTTTTTATAAACCACAATGGCTTTTTTGGCGCGTTATTTAATGTTTACTGCAGTTTTAGCTTTTTCCTCGTGAAAGCATGCATTGATTTAATAACAATAGAAATTTGACTTCCACCAGAGGCCATTTACTTTTTGGTCTGGCGTTTGTTTTCCATGTTGCTACAAAATTTCCGAATCTTTTGTCAATTTTTAAACGATGATAAATCAGATAACAAAAAAGAAATTTATCAAAAAAATACGAATATTTAACGTGATTCGATCAATTGACCTATGTCCACGGCGGAGATGAACAATCTACTATATAAAAGAGAGTACAACATATCGAGAGAACTAAGAGGCAAACACGAGTGACACACTAATATTTGTCCCGTAAAGTTTTCTTCCTAAATACGACTCTCAAACCCATATGGCTACATTGTGGATGCTACTGATGAGAAGGAAAAATCAACAATTTATAAAAGTCCAAACATTTTTATACAAGAAAAAAGACTAGTCAAATATGAACGATTTATAATTTTCTTCTACAAGAAGGAAAATCCAATTATTTATAAATATGTTGCCTTTTTGTTGAGAGATAGGAAAATTAAATATGATAAGAAAATTAGAACAAACATCTAACACTAGTGAGGATTCCTATGTCAAACAAAAAAATGTGGTATCTGCTGAATTGTTATCCCACAAGCATAGTATTTACTTCCTCCGTTTTAATTTATATGAACTTATTTCTTTTTTAGTTCGTGTCAAAAAGAATGATTTTTTTCCTTATTTGAAAACAGTTTACTTTTATAAAATAATTTATAGCCACATAAAATATATGTGTCTCATTTTATGCCACAAGTTCAAAAGTCTTTTTTTTCTCTTAAACTCGATGCTCGATCAAATAAGTCCATATAAATTAAAACGAGTATTTGTATCTGTCAATCATTGCGTAGAGCTATGCGGCATATCTGTTGGTGGGATTTGAGAGGTTCCCATATTTTTGCATGTTTTCTACAACCTGTCCACTTACGCACTGATGTGACAGAAAAGTCAGGTACAGGCAAAATGAGTTGTATTGTACGTAGTGATAGCAGTTTTAAGCACAACTTGTGTGCAATTCATTTAATTTTAGGATTATATGCCCACACCTCATCTAATTTCAATTAATAAAATAAAAAGTTTGATTTTTGAAGTCTAAATTATGACACATAAAACGAGACAAATGAAGTAATATTCTTGCCTCCACAAAGATTTAAACGCGAAACCTCATAATTCTCCTCGCTTTATTGGCCACTAGGTTTCACCCTTTAATATTTATATTTTATTCGTTAAAATTGAATTTACTTAAATGATCAAATAAATTTCTCTGAATATAAATGAATTGTTGATAGACTATTGTGTTTAAAAATTTAAAAAGTTAAACCCCTTATAAAATAGAAATCGTACACAAATATGATGGTTACCTTATGATATAAAATCAAAAACTTAAACAGTTATATGATAGAAATTTTACCAACTATTGTGCAATATTTTCCTTACATATAGGGTATAGTGATTACTTTTGAAATATAATATTGAGTGTATCTATAAATAATTAAAATAGAATAATTTGAAGAGAGATAGTCAAAAGGCATCCTGAGCAAAATAGTATGAGAGAAATTCCTATATATTAATTATCGTAATATTTTAAGGGTGGAGCAAAAATATCTCAAGAAGAATAAAAATTTTCAATAATTTAGGAAAATGACTTTCACCTAGTCTTTTTCTTCTTCTTTCTTCCTAAAATGAAAAAGAAATCATTCATGCTCTCGTAAACTCAAGTTGAATAACTTTCGAATAGTTAACAATTTCATTTATAGAACGATCTTTTACTGGCATTCCAACTACTTGTCTCCTCTCCACCTAATACGCCCGCCCCCATGCACCCTACCACCCCCCATCCACACGTCGACACCCATACTCAACCCCCACCCCTACACTCCTCCCCACTTCCCATCCTCACCCAACACCCCAACACCTACCGCCGCCCCCACATTTTATTGAGCTAAAACGGTCCAAAGATACTATTAACATGGTGAGATATTGCCCGCTTTAGGCCAAGCTTGGACGGTTTTTCCGAAAATACCTCACACCATTAAGAATATTCAACTCCTTATAAGTTGAATTTTTTTCCTTTCTACTTTCCATGTGGGACTTTGTTCACATTATGGCTGTCCAACGGGACGAGACCAAATAAACGAGATGTGACGATATTTAGCGGGGATGCTGGCGGGACGAGATAAATGGGACAAAACGGTAGGCCCATCCCATCCCACTAACAAACGGGATAGGATGGGACGGGACGGGACGGGACGGTTCGCAGGCCTTAAGGTGGCCTTTTAAAAAAAATTCATTATTTAAGCATTAAGTTTGGCAACGACTAGTTTTTTGACAATGACTAAGTTTTTGAAGTTTGCAACGACTATTTTTTTTGACTTATTTAATAAACTTAAAATTTGATAAATTATAAAGAAACTAAGTAAAGAATAATAAACTATTAAAATAAAAGACTTGTAATGAAATATTTTAGTAATTATAATTGAGTTACAATTTATTTAATAAAATTTCAAGCCATTACGTAAATAAGTAAGAGTGTAAGACAATTTATAAAAAAAAAAAAAAAAT